GTAGGAAGAACAACTAGACTCGGTGGTAGAAGAAGAAATGCCCGTGTTGGAGGAGAATAAAAAAAAAACACAGGCTGTATAGATATAAATCTGCAGGATGTTTCTTGCTCTGATGCGATATAAGACTAAACACTTAAATGAAAATATTTCCAGACTCTCATTTCCTGATAAGTTTACACTATATATAAAACTAGGAATAATCCCTGCCCGAAAGCACTAAACAACTCAAAAAATCTCAATCACCGGTTCTGTAATATAAATATTTCAAAATATTTTATTTTTTTATTATTTCTTTAGTTACACAAATCAAAATTAATTTAAAAATACTATTTTATAAAAATTTTTACAAAACTTCTTTAAAAATACGACCTCTAAAAAATATCAACATGTACACAATTTATATATTTAATCATTATACCTAAAAAATATCTTTTTTTTTTGTAGGAGTCAATATTGACATGTGTATGTTGGCAAGTGTATAGAAAAAGAATTATATAAGAGATGTGATAAACTTATGAGAGATGAGAATATGATATAAAGAGAGATTAGGGTATTAATGGGTATTAGATTATTATGTTATTATTAAATATATAAATATAGTCCAAGCCAAACTCTTGGAAGATAGAATTATATGAAAGATGAGAGTATGTGTAAGAGAAAAAAATGTAAAAGAAATAAAAAACTAATTAGGATCATATAGACATATATATAGATAAATAGATATAGGATGACATATTTGGATAGAGATAGATAGGGGCGAGAGTGGACACGGGCCCATCCTCAATTTTTTTAAAAAAAATATGAGATATATATATAAGCAACTTAAAAAACCTCGATCACCGGTTATGCAATATAAATATTTCAAAAATATTTTATTTTTAATTATTTTCTTTAGTTACACAAATCAAAATTAATTTAAAAACACGACCCCTAAAAAATATCAACATGTACACAATTTATATATTTAATCATTATACCTAAAAAATATTATTTTTTTTGTAAGAGTCAATATTGACATGTGTGTGTTGGCGGGTGTATAAAAAGAGAGTTATATGAAAGATGTGATAAACTTATGAGAAATGAGAATATAATATAGAGAGAAATTTGGGTATTAATGGGTATTAGATGTATTATGTTATTATTAGATATATACATATATAGTCGTCCAAATCAAACTCTTGGAAGATAGAGTTATATGAGAGATGAGAGTGCGTGTAAGAAAAAGAGATGTAAAAGAAATAAAAATCCAATTAGGATCATATAAACATAGATATAGATAAATAGATATAGGATGTATATATATATATATATATTTTTTTTTTTTTTTTCTAAAAGTTATACACATATATATTTAATTATTTAGTCTTTTTTATTATAATATGACTTTTTTCAAATGACCTTCATTTTATTATGAATTTTTGCAAGTGAAAGTGTTTTCAATTGATCTTCATTTGTTTTTGTTTTTTTTACGAAAATTATCTATTATTTTTATTCGAGTATTGATTATAGTCTTTATTATGCGTCAATTAGATTTTAGTTTAATAGTTTTATTATACTAATATTTAGTGATAATGTTTAAAACATCGTTTATTGAATAAATTTAATAGATTGTTAGTGAATAATTGATATTTTTTAATTATAAAAATAACAATTAGCTTCACCTTTTACATTGGTGATAATTAGTCAATTTTTTATACATATATAATATTTGGGTAGGATTAGATTAGATGAATTTTAATGATATCTAAATTGTATATTTAAATTTCAATTAAATCTTAATTGTTTTTCTCTCTTTTTTTTTTAAATTAAGAGTATTAATTTTAATTTTAAAATTTTAAAATTGCCTCTATATTGTTAGTGTAGATAGATAAATATAGATATACAACAGTCTAAGTCAAACTATCCAATATTTTAAATGCGAATGATGAGAGATAAAAGGAATGTAGTAGAGTCTTAGTCAATCTCTCAAATGTTTTGAATAGAGATGAGGAAAGATAAAAGGAATGTAGTTGAGTATTATTGAAATGTAGATTAATTAGGATCGTCAGATCAATAATATTGAATCGATCTGAACCGTATTTTATGTTGGAATTACGTCGTCCGTTGGATGTGTTTATGTTTTGTCTCAAAACAATTTGTACATCTCTTTGTTTTTTAGATTCAAATTTCGTTTTACTTAATTATATAGATTACAACAAAGAGGTGATAAGTCTTATATTTATCACAATGAATCTTATCCTTATCACAATGAATCTTATCCTTATCACAATGAATACAATTGATTTTGAAATTTAAGAATTCAATCCTTATCTCTAACAATAGGCATTTCAAGGTGATGACAGATGAACTCATTTGCAATTAACCAATGCATTTGATTGTTCCACTTATATTCTCTAATACGTTCTTAGCAATGATATTATCTAACCAATTAAAAAATATATCTTTCTGAAATTGAGTCACCGCCACACAAATCCCAACGAAACTATCAATACAGATTTTTTTACGGATCATTAACCAAACAAAACTCCAACCTGGAAACAATTGATACAAATCAATTTAGAATGTGACATGTTTTGATATAATTGTACAGTATATACCTGGTAGTGGAATGGTGATTGAGTTACGAAACAAGAAGTATACATGAAGGAGACAATGCTTTCGAAATGTGCTTGGAACTGATAGGATTGGAAAATTGAAATGATCGAATCCAAGTTATGTAAGTTTCCATACGAGTATTGTTGGACTATATGCTCATCAGGTCACACCAGAAATACTGGCTTAGGAGGACCAGCTGCAGCTGTACTTTTGACATATTTTCTGATATTCTATTAAATATAAGACCGTTGAAACGCCTTGGCAAGGGGAAACGATGGATCTTCTGGCGTTTGAAAAAGGATTTTCGATGCTGGAGCTGTAGGGGCCAACCATCCTTCCTGAAAAAATCACTTAATTTGATATAAGATTTAAGAAGTGATTCTTAGGGTGCTAGATCACTCTCTTTCCATATAAAAGTTGGATGTATCTCACTACCATCAGCATGGAATATAGAAACATAAGTTGCCACAAACTCCATTAATAAAAGAGTTTCTAGTGTGCAATGAGACATCCACTTTAGTGGGTTTGTCTTCTTAACTACATACATATATTGGGGGTAGGAGGTCGCATAAGGGTAGGACCATCTATCATTTATTCTTCCACACCTTGTTATAGGTGTGATGTGCACTGGATATGACCTACATGACAAAATATTAGTCCGAGCTCCCCGCAATGCTAGCACTGACTCACACCAATACGGTAAATAATCTATTTCCTTGTCATTTGAGGGAACAAAAACTTCGAAGTGTCCAATTGAGTACAATATATGGCTTCAGCTTTTCATATCACTGTCTGATGCAAATCTGGTCACTAATGAACCAGAGTTTGGTTATTTGGAAGCCTGATTCAGAGACTTTTATGTATGCACATAGTGTTGATGCTTGTAGAGTTTAAAGAAGATGAGGCATATCATAATTATTTGATTTTATTGTAGTGTTTGATCTAGCGAACCATTAGAATTTAGAAAGGTCCATTAATGTCTCAGATTAGATGGATGAGCTTGGTCTGCCTACTAAAAAAGAGTGATTGCTTTTCAGGGGGAGAGCACCCCCCCCCCCCCCCCTTTTTCCTCTCAAAAGGAGGGGGGAATGGGTGGTTTGAGGTGAGGGCAATTGAGTTGTTCTTGTTGTGGGAACTGACTATGGAGAAAAAATTATTAGAAAATCCTACTCCAAATGGTTCAGAGTTGAAGGCAGCAGAAACGCTTAAGCAGAAATAAACCTCTTGACTCTATAGCTGAACTTTCTTGCACCCTTTTACCACAGAGGAGAAAGCCCCTCCCACCCTTGCACAAGTATTATTATGCATGACTCAAAGAACTTTAAAAGTAGGCACCATCACTCAAAATCATATAAATTTAATAGGTAATGCAACCGTCACATAGAGGCAAATTTTCTAGTACTTCAACTGATGCTGATCATTGGAAACTGCCATGTTTTGTTTGTGGCTTGCCCTTTAATCCAACAAAGCACGTAATCAATGCATGGCATCAAAGAAGGAAGAGAAAGGGACTTGGAAAGAAAAAAACTAAGAAGGTAATTAACTAAGACTGCTTAGACCAAGATAAAGCACACAGGGAAGAGCTGTCCAGAAAGGGGACCGGGAGTTCAAGTTTTCAACCATAAAGTACTGAATCACTTACAATGCACTTGATTTTTTTACAAAAATTGTTAAGTTTAAGAGTAACGGATTCAATTAACCTCAAAGCTGGAACAGTTTTATGGCATCCTGCATTGAGTATTCCAAGAGCAGACAAAATCAAATTCTACAAAGCATTTGCAGAACTGTAAGGATCTATATTTTTTTTGCTGGTGAGTATGACTTGAAATCATAGTTAAGCAACAAATATGAAGAAAATATGGCTGAAAACTCACTAAAACTGCTGAAAAGAGAGACTTAGTTCTGCATTAAGTCAATAATCCTTCATTAAAAATGATTTCATTTTCGAACAACATTGAAAAAATTTCTGTAATGAGAAACCCAATGCACTAATGCTTTGGGCATCCACATATTGCAAAGGAAATCAAACATGTTGTCAAACCAGAACAACAGGCGAGATTCTATCTGGAAGAACACCATGCGGCCTCATGCTCAATGGGGATGCAGGAAGTTAAACAACAGGCATCATGACTTAAAATGCAATAGAAGTAGACACAATGAATATATGGAAATAAGTAAATCAAACATGCAATCGTCCCTTGATGGAAAATTTTCTAATACTTCAACTTTTTGACTATTCAAGTTTATATACAATACTACTTTCCTATCATAAAAGTTTTCAATAATAGAATCTTGAGTTAAAAACAAATCATAATAGAAACTAGCTAGTTCATGAATTTAAAACTACTAGTTCTATAAACCATAATAGAAACTTGGGTTTTAATTGTCCCAGGTCTTCATGCACACTAAGTAGCCATCCCTTTTACATCTGAACACACATTGCTTTGAAGATTTTGTGTGTCTTCATCATACATCAATGACTCCACTCCGGGATTGAGTGCCAATGGCAATGTTCCAAGAGCTATGTTTCTGGATTCCAAATTATCAATTTTCAAGCCTTCAAGCAAATCACTTCTCCATTCCTCCATGTCAAAGCATAGATCGCTTTGAAGAATGTGTGTCCCTTTATCGTATATCGATGATGCTGGTCTAGAAGCAATTGTTAATGGCAATGCTCAAAGAGGTATGCTCCATTCCTCCATTTTAGAACATAGACTGCTTTGAAAAATTTGTGTCTTTGTCGAATTTTGATCCAGAATTTACTGTCGATGGCAGTTTTCGAAGAGGCATGGAAATATGCCACATTAATTAGGTTTTTAGGTGGATTGGGTATCCGTTCCTCCATGTTTGTAACTGCAGTGCTCCCAAGAACCTGTGTGTGGTGGTATATTGTTGATTCCGGTCCAGAACTCATTGTCCTTGTCAATCACAGGGTCTTCAAGCAAACCACTTCTCCAATCCTCCAAGCCACAACACACATTGCTTAGAAGAACTTGTCTGTACTAGTTATAGATTGATGATTTTGCTTCTAAACTGATAGTTAGTGGCGATGTTCCAAGAGGTAGATTCCACGTTGTCAAGCATCAGGTCCTTAGGGAAACCATCCACATTGTTTCATCCTCCAGCCTTTTAATCCGACATAGTACGTAATTGAGACAACATTCGTAATCGAGACTATATTCCTGAGGAGAGAAGAGACTATATTCCTTCATCAACCATCGACCATGTTGAGTTGATTCTACGTTCACGCACATTAAACTTTTCTTGTATCCAATAACTCTTCCTTCACGATTTTAAATTGGCTTGCCTTTATCTTTGACCTTTCCACGAAACCTTCCCCTTCCCAACTGTGCAAATGAACCGTTTCCCCTTCTCTATCTTCTTCTTCATCTCCGTCAGGAAGTAACAACACATTCTCTTCGGTATTCTGGAATATCTCCCATGGCTACATAAAGATCAACTCTGATTACAAAACTTTCAAATAATGACTGATTTCTGGTGATCATGCAGCCAAGTATATAAATCAATTCTTGGTTAGTGGGGTGGAACCTCAAACCAACCAGAGATCTTGCCATCTCAAATTTATTTCTATCTAGTTTCTGCGTTTTTCTTGTGTTTTCTAGGATTGCATTGAAAGAAAACATGAGATACAAATTAAAGGTCGATTAGGGGCAATGTAAGTTATCCTTTTAAGGTTTTACTGTTAATATGTTTATGGTTTGGATAGTGATTGGTTGGAGAATTATAAGTGCAGTAGAATTAGTGAAGATGTTGTTGAATGTGTCATAGTTTAAAGTTTCTACTCCATATCCATTAAACAGAGGATCTCAAGTGACCAATGGAGAAAAAGGCTAAATGAATTAGGACTTGTAATGTAATTGATAGGTGCAAAAAAAAAATAGTTATTGATAATTCATGAGTCGTGTATAGGAGATAGCATGCGGGAATGGAATTAATGACTTAGGAGTGTATGAGTATCCTTTATCCATTAAATGATTAGTCCATGGCTGAAAGTATGAGTATCCTAGTTGAGATCAGACAGACAGGAAAGAAGATAAAATTGGTCTCCATATCTTCACTAATTCTATTTCACTTATAATTCTCCACCCAATCATTATCCAAACCTAAACGCATTAACACTAAAAAATTTGTTAGCAGAAACTTCAATTGCCCCTAGCCGCCTATAATTTGTTAGCAGAAGCTTCGTAATTGAAATGGACTACACTATACTAATCATAATCAAACACCTTCATAAGTTTGGGATAAACCTACATGTATACTCTATCACAGGCCATTGTACTTTATGATAAATACTTAAGTCATACCCTCTCTAACAGCTTAAACTTTTGGAGTAGATGATTGTTTAACATGGTATCAGAGCTGGAGATCTTGTGTTCGAATCTCACCACCACCCTAATGATGATTAAAATATTTTCACGTGATAAGCCCAAAATCTAGCCTACACATGAAAGAGTGTGTTGAAATATAAATACTTTAAGTTACACCTCTCTAACAACTTAACCTTTTGAAGTAGATGGTTGTTTAGCACTTTACAATCTCTAGTGAGTTTGAGGTTTTACCCCGCTAACCAAGAATTAATTTATATTCTTCACTGCATGATCCGCGAAAATCCATCATTATATGAAGGTTTTGTGACCATAGATGATCTTTATGGAGACATGGAGCCATGGGAGATATTCGGGAATACCGAAGAGAGGTGTCGTTACTTCTTCACGGAGCTGAAAAAGAATATTGCGAAGGGGAAAGGTTTTCTTGTATGGTTGGGAAGGCGAAGGGATTGTGGAAAAGTCAAGATAAAGACAAACCCATTCAAAACCGTGAAGAAAGAGTTATCAGATACAAGAGAAGTTCATGGTACAAGAAGGTAGGATCGACTCACCATGGTTGATGGCTGATGAAGAAATATATCTCCTCTCCTCAAGAATACGTACTATGCCAAATTAAAAGGCTTTATCACAAACAAGCCGTGGCAGTTTGTGACAACTAGTAGCATCAATCGAATGAATATGAGAATATCGACAACGAGCAAAAAGGCCTTGGATAGATGGATGTGAACATATAGAAAACCACTGCATTGATAACAATGTGAAATCTAGACATATATCTGTTGGGACATGGCCATTGACAACTAGTTTGGGAGTAGAATTGTCAACTTATGACGAAACAACACACATTCTTGATAGCAATCTGCGTTTTGACTTGTTGATTGACAATGCCGATGGTTTCCCTGAAGAGCAGATGATTGGCAATGTTGAATCTGGAGCCTTACCTCATGGAACATTGCCGTTGACAATTAGTTCTGGAGAAGAATCATCGATATATGATGAAGACATACATATGCTTCAAAGAAATCTGTATTTTGATGTGGAATGGACTTGTGTTTTTCCTGAAGACTCGATGATTGACAATGTGAAATCTAGCACCATGCCTGTTGGAACATTGCCATTGACAATCAGTTCACGAGCAAAACCATGGACATATGGCGGAGACACACAGATTCTTCAAAGTCAACAGTGTTCTGACATGGAGAAATTGATACTAATTTTCCAAATGACTTGGTGGTTGAGAATGTAGAATCTAGAACCACATCTCTCGGAACATTGCCTTTAAGCAATCACTTCCAGAGCAGAGCCATTGATATATCATGAAGATGCACAGCTCCTTCCATGCAATCTGCATTCTGGAATGGAGGAATCGATGCTTTGTTTGCTTGAAGATTTGATGATTGAGAATATGGAATCTACAGCCATACCTAATGGGACATTGCCATTGACAGTCCCGGAGTAGACTCATCGATGTATGATGAAGAGACATAGATTCTTCAAAACAATCTGTGTGTTGAACATGGATGGATGGATGGATACCAGATTTTCCTGAAGATCTGTTGATTAACGCTGTGGAATTTACAACTTAAAGCAATGTATGTTTTGACAAAGAGAAATGGCAGCGTAGTGTGCCTGAAGACCTTGGCTTTAAATTCATGAACTAGCTAGTTTCTATTATGCTTTGTTTTTAACTCAAGATTCTGTTATTGAAAACTTTTATGATAGGAAAGTAGTAATGTATATAAATTTTAATAGGCAAAAAGTTGAAGTATTAGAAAGTTCACCATTATGGGACGATTGCATTTTTGATTTATTTCATTATTTCCATATTGCACCATTTATACTAACATACTGCATATATTATATGTGTATCAGAATAAAATGGTTTAATTTTATATTCAAACTAAATTATTGCCTAAACCTGCCTGGGCCATCTAGTGGGCCAAATGTGCTGGCCCAAGTACAGTCCAGAATTTAAAATGGCCCAAATTTTCTGCTCTAGGGCCTACACATGGGTTAAATGTTCTAGACCAAGGCCTTGTTTTTTATGCTGGCCACCAGGCCCACGCCCACCCCCAGTTGCAAAGAGAACCATGCAGTGAACTTGTTTGTAAAATAAGGTCGACAAAAGGCTTGTGTTGGATTTAATTGCTGCCGAATTCCGGATTGTTTCGTGGAGAGACAGCCATCTTCCTCGGAAGCTTGCAAGTGCATGCTTTTGTATAGGCATGTAAGGGTCATTTCTTGCAAAATCGTAGAAGTTTACACTTGTGTGCTCACTAAAAAAAAGTTGTTTTTGAGATAGGAAAAAGATGGTGTTCAGGAACGGTATGAGTTGAGCCTTGTTGATGTTCCTTTCTACTTGTGATTGTGGACTACTAACCAAAGTACCTCAAGATTTTATCCCCTCGAGTCACTAATATAAGAAGTGAAATGTATTTTTGTTTAGGGTTTTCGATTTTCTTTTTTTACGTCTCTCGACAGTTTGGAAGCCCAATTTTCAATATTCATTTATTGATGACTACTACATATTTTGAGCACAGGAGGTATTTAACCAGATGAAGACATTTTCCACCTCATAGACGACATAATCAAAGCAAAAAAGTACACAATATTCCAGCCAAATATAGCGTTTTGAGCAAATATAGCTGCCAACCAGAAAATTATTTTAGTTCATCCGTCACCTTCAAATTTGCATAAGCTGAATTCTCATATTTTCCATCCCACCTGCGGATTAGTTTGGAGGGGAATAATCGAAAACATTAGCCTTTGAAATTTCATGTTTGATAAATTCATTCTCAACAAAGTTGTATACGTTGGAGGAAACAAGAACATTGAAATCCAACGAACCTGCATTCTTCCTTTTCAGGAATCTTGAGCTCCAAATCTTCCTGGAATGGCAAAAACACCAGGTTGATTCTGTCATCGTCCACTTCATGAAGAGTTGGTGGACCCCACTGTAGTAAAATTATTGTGAGAGAAAGAGAGACAGAGTTAAGGGAATTTTTTTCAGGCATTGCCCTTGTACACAATGCCAAATGTTGCTTGACAATAATTTTTAGACATTTGAAAATGAGAACAATATTTTCACTTTTTCTAAGCTTCTATACAACGTTTAAGAAATAGAAGAACGAGTGCACTGAAACAAAACAAATGGCCAAACCTTTCTCTATTGGAATTTACCTTTAATTCAACCCAAATCAAATTACTTCGGCTTTAAGCATAACACTAAAAACTTCAAGAAAATCACAAACTTGCACATGGAGACGGCTGGAGGAAGCGAGGGTACCTTAGGAGAGTTATCCTTGTCAATGGTAAGCGCTCTGATTCCCTTTTTCAGGCGAACAGAAATGTTCATTTCAGAAGTAGACAAGCAACACACTTTCCGAAATTGAATAAGTGTACTATTGAAAATACTTATTATTAGAGAAATATCGGGTGATTACCTCGTAGACATCACTAGAAATTGTGGACCGAAGTATATTCATTGTGAGTCTAAATTCTTTTTTCAGGCACTCGGGCAATGTTTGTTTCCTTCCTTCACAAACCTGAAATTTTTAAGCAGATTTGAAGCTATCAGATGCATTATATTCAAATAAGTCTGACGAAGCGATAGAGATGGAATCTTAGATGAAACAATACGTATAAATAGGCATTGAATTTAAAATAGAAGATTCAACAGAAAAGAGCAGGAAAAAATAGAGCAACTAACAAAAGGGAAACAAAGTTTTTTATCAATTCCAGCCATCTTTTATAATACATAATGTTACACATAAGTTAAAGCACTGAATGAAGATTGAAGCACAATTCTTTTACTGTCCCATCATGGAGTATGACAATATGCAACAAAGATAGTTATCACTGCAGAATTCTAATGAGGTCGGGGTTACTCGGACAAAGGAAATAAAGATTTAGTCTCAATTGATTATGCTTGTATTGGCTTTTAGCAAACAACACTAGGCCAATGGAGAGATTTGAAGCCAATGTCAATAAATTGCATTAGCCTGCTAGAAAAATGTTTAGTTTGCAACAAGTCCTCTATTGTTTCCAACTTTGAATCCAATTTAAACAAAGTAGGAAACTAGAGAAGAGATGCTTCGAGCAATCACCCTAAGCATGAATGAAAACATGAGCTAACAATACATGATGCACATTGAAGCATCCCTAGGACCAATATGGGAACTGACAGTACCATTCAAGGAACAGTGTTCACGCTTTCTGGATTTCTTCCAATTTCTGTTCTCTGGGTGTTTTGTAAGGGTGTTGTGGGCCTCTCTTCACTTGGTGGTTTGTTGCTTGAATTTGCTGCCTATGGTGCCGATTTGGACTTAAGAACAGCCTCCTGGGTAGGCTGATTTGGATGTGTTTTTGTGGCTGATTGGGTTTTGGCTACTGCCTTTCTTCACCGAACAGTGCCAAACTGTTCCAGGTTTTTTGAGTTTGCTTATTTTTGGCTTTTGTGTGTCCTCTAAGGCCTGCTGTGTGGTTATTTCTTCACTGAACATTACTAAAATTGTTCCAAGTTATAGGTGTTGCTTGGGTTGTGATTGTTGATTTGTGGTGGCTTTTTCGGATCAGTTATCTGGCTGTTTGGTCCATATTTGTGATGCCTTCACGATTTTAAGGCTTCCAATCCTATTTGGTTGTTGTTTTGTTGCGTGGAGTTCTAATTAAATGCCGGCACTGTGTTGAGTCCCTTGTTGGGTTGTTCTTTATTGGTGATTTTTCGCTTCTAGGTTGTCATCTATGATGTTGAGATCCAGTTTGGTTGATTGTTATGTGATTTGGGATTGAAATTCAAACTTGACTTCCATTATTGGGGATCACTTTGTTTTTGGTTCGACCTTGCCTAATTTATTGTGGTTTCACATGGCTACTTTGAGTGGTAGACATGATGGTAGTTCTGGTCGTGATCATCGTTTTAAGTGGAAGTGCACTTATTGTGGTTGCAAAGTACATACTAAGTCTTATGGTTAGGATAAGTATGGGAGAACAACTTGTGCTAATCAGGCTCCTAAGGATACTTTGAGCTCTCTAATACATTAGACTTCTACCAATGATCCAGTTATATCTATTACTGATTCTCATGATGATTTAGAAGTGATGATCAATCTTCTTAGATTTATAAGCTTATCCAAAAGTTGTCATCACTCACTTTCTGCACATTTTTTTATTCCTATTACCGGTCTTGCTAACGAAGGTAACTCTCTATTTGTGGTTGCTCAACCTTCTTCGTCATCTTAGATCATTGAATTAGGGCTAGTGCTCATATGTTTGGTATGTCTTTCTTATTCTCTAATTTTTGTTTATCTAATTCACATATTGTGTTTTTGATGGCTCATTTCGACCGGTCCATAGGACTAACAATCTTCGTCCTACTTAATCAATGTCGTTAACTTCTGGTTTGTTTTTTTCCTAATTTTTCCTTTAACTTTTTATCTATAAGGCAGCTCACTAAGCCATTCCAGTGTTTTATAACATTCTCTCAATCCTCTTGTATTTTTCAGGATCTCAATATGAAGAAAGTGATTGATTTGGGACATGAGAAAAATGGTCTTTGCTACTTAGATCAAGGTGGTTTTAATCCTGTCTTGAGTGCTACTGTGTCTCCTCTTTAGTGGCACTTATGAGACTGGGTCATCTCTCATTGCAAAATTTGTGGTAAGTTATTCCTGGTTTGAGTTCTTCTATATTAGAATGTGAAGCTTATCAATTGGGTAAACATCACCATAATTCTTTTCCTCCTAATTTTTCAAGTCGTCAATCTAGTCCATTCCATGTTGTTCATCCAGACATTTGAGGTCCTGTACGAGTTAAAAGTATTTCTGGATTTTAATATTTCATAATATTTATTGATAATTTCTCTCGTATGACTTGATTATTTCTTATGAAGGACTGTTATGAATAACCCAAGGTCTTTACCACCTTTTATAATAAAATTTTAACTAAATTTGATATTTGTATTAACATTCTTCGATCTGACAATGCCCTTGAGTATACTCGATTATTTATAAAAATCTTTTGTGATAACCATATCATTATCCATCAAACCATTTATACTCATACCACCCAACAAAAAGGCATTGCCGAACGTAATCATCGTCATTTATTGGATGTTACTCGTACCCTCAAGTTTAACGTGCTTGTTCCTAAACCTTATTGGACAGACATTCTCACTGCAGTCTATCTTATTAATCAGATGCCTTCTCCTATCTTGGGTAACAAATCTATGTTCTCTTTACTCTATTCTGATACATCGTCCTTTGATCTGACCCCTGGTATATTTGGTTGTGTTACATTTGTTCATCTTCTTGGTTCAAATCAAGATAAACTTTTACCTCATTAGGTTAATTGTGTCTTTCTGGAATACTCTCGTATTTAGAAAGATTTTAATTGTTATGACCTTATCTCTCGCAGATATTACACCAGTGACATCATGTCGGTGCCAATGTCACCTTTTTTGAGTCAACTTCCTTTTTTTCTAATACAGGATTACACTTTCACTAGATTTGGTCTCTACTAGCCAGGAGAAGCTGATATTGCCTCTTGTATTTAATGGTGTATCTTCTCCCTCTCCAGCTACTGACATTCCATTATAGGTCTACCAGTGTTCCACGAATTGACAAGTTATCCCGTATGCTCTAGCTCCCCAATCAATACCTATTTCCATGGAGGTCCTTTCTTCTAAGTCGCTTGATTTGCCTATTGCATTGCCAAAAGGTACTCGTATTGGTACCCAACATCCCATTTCTAATTTTGTCTCTTTGTATCGATTTTCCACTTCATTTCACTATTTTGCATCCTCTTTGTTCCTAACTATTTGACACATACATTAACATCTCCCGGATGGAAACTGACCATGTATGAGGAAATTAAGACACTTTATGAAAATTATACTTGGGACCTTATTTCTCTTCCATCTGAGAACTAGCCTGATAGTTATCGTTGAGTGTATATTGTGAAATATCATCCTTATGGTTCCGTTGAGTAGTTAAAGGCACGGTTGGTTGCTAAAGGGTACACTCAAACCTATGGTGTGGAATACTTTAAGACCTGTTCCCCTGTTGCTCATCTTAACTCTGATAGAGTTCTTATTTCAGTTACAATCAGTTCTGACTGAAACTTGTATCAATTGGACATAAATAATGCATTCTTACTGGAGGAGATATATATGACCCAACCTCTAGGCTATGTGATTTCAAGTCAAGAACAATTAGTGTGTTGTTTGAAGAAGACACTGTATGGCTTGAAACAATCACCACGTGCTTGGTTTGATAGGTTCAGTGCCGTGATATTTCAGTTTGGTTTTCAACACTTTACCTCAAATCATTCAGATTTCACTCATCGATTTTTTATTGGCATTATTATTGTTATTGTGTATGTCAATAACATTACCATCAATGAGAATGACTCAAATGGGATTGCTCACTTCAAGGCCTATTTGGAGACGCAGTTTCATACCAAAAACTTAGGTTTTTTTTATACTTCTTAGGAATTGAGGTTGTCTGCTCAAAGAAGAGTATCAATTTGTGTCAATGAAAATATTCACTAGATTTACTATCTGAAAAAGATACTCTTGGTGCACGGCTGATTGATACGACTATGGACCCTATAGTTAAGTTAGATCCTGAGAGTGGAGATTGGTTGATAAACTGATTTATCTTATAGGTACATGCCCTGATATCACGTATGTCGTTGGTGTGGCTAGCTTGTACATGCATGCCCCTCATAAGCTTCATTAGGAGGTTGTCTACCACATACTTCGGTATCTGAAAGGAGTCTAGGGAAGGATTATATCATTTATCATCATTCATAACTGTCGTTGGTTTTTCTAACGCTGATTGAGCAGGTAGTCATGATGATAGACGATCTACATCTAGGTATTGCACATTTGTTGATGCTAATCTTATTTCTTGGCATAGTAAGAAAAAATAATGTGGTTGCGCGTGCTAGTGCAGAGGCTGAGTATCATGCTATGACACATATTACTTGTGAGATGCTATGGGTCCATTTTTTACTCCGTGATATGGGACTTGATGTGTCTTTCCCTATGAAGATGCAGTGTGACAATTAAGCAGTTGTTTTCATTGCAAGGAATCCAATATTTCATGAGCATACTAAATACATTGAGGTGGATTGTCATTTCATTCAAAATCTTTTGATGCGAAAGGAGATTATCACTCCATATATGAAGTCTGGTGATAAATTGAGTGATATTCATAATAAACCGTTAGCTCGGTCCGCCTTTAATAATTTATGTTCCAAGTTGGGCATTTTTTATTTGAATGCTCCAAATTGAGAGGGAGTGTTAGCGTTCTTATTTTATTTATCAAAGATAAGATAGTTTGTGTAGGGTAATATTGAAATTACTCTAATATTACACAGTTATAAATAAGAGTGCAAGACAACCTAAACCTACACAATAAATTATTCTCTTTTTCTTCTTCTCCCTTCTTCTTTCCTCTTCTTCTCCTTTTCTTACTAACCCTAATTTTGTTTCCACAATTTCGACCCATAGAGAAGGGAGGGCTTCCTTTTGCTGCCAAAGAAAATGGCAGGGAATTTCGGTGCTCTTGCATAGTAATTGTGACCTCTGGTACTTTAAAAAGATAGAACAGGGGGTCTCTTGGTAGTTTGCACAGAGCATTATTAACCTTGTTATCAATGATAGTTTGCAGCTGCTTCATCAAATAGCACTTCTTGAAGTGACCCTTCTGGAATCGATACCCTGACTCCACCATATAAAACATAAAAACCTATCTGAGTTTCCTAAATGTTGCCTAGATCTCTTGGTATGACATAAGGATGCTCACTAATTGGAAACAAAGTAAGATAGGTTTCCTAAATGTTGCCTAGATCTATTGATATGAAGGATGCCCACATTATTGGAAACAAAGTCACATTCATAAATACTATATCAAGCTTAAGCATATCTAGACTAACAGAAACAGGGAAAAATGATGCACAGGTATAAAATATAGTGTAGCTTCAATTAAAAGTTATTTTGAAAGAACCATTACCGATCTTAGAGTTATCTTTAATCCTGTGGGGGATGATCTCGTTAAGCCTTTGAACACAGGAGCAATCCAAGCATTTCCTTCTTTGCTTGCCTCAGCTTCCTAAAATCAGGATAGACATCCATTTAAAACTTAGCTATGTTGTTCAGTAAAGCCGTAGGTATGCAATTCATTACAAACAATCTCCGGTGACAGATGGAACATTTTCCTCCCATAAAACCATAAACTTACAAGTGATTTTATGATCTCTTCCACAGAACCCTTGGAAAAGCACTGGTCTATTATTAATTGCCTGCAAGTGAACCAAAAATTGTATTGGTCTTCCGAACTTTCCAGATGCTACAAAAGTGCTTCATCACTTTAGATGTATTACTTGTTTAAGATACTTTCTTCGTCAGTCTGAACACTAACAGAGAATTCCTCAATTGTAGATTTGACTGCATTCTCATCACCAGTGTTTAAGCTTATCAAACGCTTCTCTAGCTCGGGCAATTTCTGACATAAAGGAAAAGGGTAATCTGCAACGGTTATATTCTTAAACCCAAATTAGAAGAAAAAGGAAAAGAATTATAATCCATTCAAGGAAAAAGTGTTGCATTTTTGTGGATTCAAACACTTTGACTCCACATAACACATGAAAACCGTAACCAAATTTTAGCACCAGTAGTTCTTTACTTCAAGAAACAGGAACAACTTTGACCAAAACTATTTAACAAAATAGTGTGTTGATATGTTTGACAAATCACATCAAATCATTCCATTGAGAGACTGAAGAAATGTGAGTGAATCAGAGTTCAAGCTTACATCAGAAGGAACAAAATGAGTCGCTAGTCCCATAGCAACCAGTTCCTTACCATTCAGCCTTGCTCCTGTTAAGGCCAAAAATTCCCCTGCATACATACAATATTAATGTCAGTGCATATTTGGCTCCCCATTTTCGTGTTGGGATTTAACAGCAATTTAAATCCACTAACAAACACGCACAATCGAAGAACAAATCAAGAATATAAAGCAATAAGAAACAAGAAAGAACAAGACACAAATTTTACGTGGTTCGGCAATTTGCCTACGTCCACGAAGCTGCAGGGATTTCACTATTGAGAGAGTTGAATACAGAGAGCGGCTGTACAATCCACCATATTAACCCTAATCACCAAAACAACGGGTTTTATATGTCCTACGCACTGGGCTATATAACGGGCCCAAAAATTTTCCTCGGGGGCACAAGACTTGTCCATGAGCTAGACTCCACAAAAAAACCAACATCTCGTTGTGCCAATATATATTAATTCTTCATGAGGAAATCAAATGGATTTGATTGCTTTAGAAAGCATCAAGAAAGAAGGCAGTTACATTTATTCATATTCAATAATATGAGAAAAAAGAATCATTGATACATGTAAATTCCAAGTGCCAGCTGAATGTTTACCTAGGCACCCAGGGAGACGGGAGAGCATATATGAGAAACCACAGTCAGTGTGAAACCCAATACTTGCTTCTGGAGTGGAAAAGACCTATGCCAAATCATTCATAAGGATCACCACAGAAAATTTTGGCAGAACACATTTGGGAATGGAGCCTTTAAGAAGCCAAAAATAAATACTCACAGTCTTCTCTGTGACGACTGAGAACTTCATTGGAACCATGAAAGATGCACCTCCGCCCATGGAAATTCCATGAACAAGAGCAACCTAGCAAGGACATCAATAGCTCCATAGCAAGTTCTATGTCTACATAGACTCAGCAAAATTTTATGTAACATCTGCTTTCCTTCAGAAAGTACCTGGGTTTTCTTATAGGTATGGATGTGGTAGCAAAGCCAGTACATTCTATAGACTACTTCAAGACAGGAATCCTCTGCCAAACAATGTACAAACAGATAAGTAAATTTATGACAAGTAAAAGGTTTCTTATAATTTACATGTCCCAGCCCCCCCCCCCCCCCCGGTTATATGTTATGTCAACACTTTTTCACCCTACGACAATAAAATTCTTTTACGAAGTGTACTCACTAATATTCCTGCCATCATAGAACATTTTCAAATCGCCACCAGCAGAAAATGCACGGCCAGCTCCCTATAAAAGCGTGAGCAACATTATAAGTTTGCCCCACCAAGGAAACCCCTTTTCATAAATTAGGCGATTATTTGAGGTAATCAGTTGCATCAACACTATATTTTCAGTCATATGCCAAGTGATTGGCATTGCCATTTGAAAATTTGAAATAGTATACTAGCCTTGATAATCACAATCTCTGCTGTGTCATCTTTTTCCCATTTTTCCAGGTATTCTGCAAGCAATGAAACCTAATTGCAGGAAAATGCAACAATACTTGATCACCAAAACATTGCATCAAAAGGCCGCAATGAGTTCATGAACTTAATGGATTGGATTCATTGAGCATACCACTTTAGAGGAAATTACATTCAACTGACGAGGGCGGTTCAAGGTGATCAATCTCACATTGCCTATTTGTTCACCAAGAACAACCTAAAGAGTAATAACAACAACCACCACATGGTGCTTAGATAATATATTTTTAGGCGGCATCCAATGAAAGAAAATTTTGGCTAAAAATGGCCGAGAGAAGTCATTGCTCCAACATTTGGATGCTATGTGCTACATTGGAATTACCTCCTCATCTGGGTTAGCCACTTCCTTTGCCATTGAGTTATGAATGTAAATTGAGACAGCAAACCTGCACAAGGAACCAACTCAACCCACTAATCTTGGGCAAGAAATGACTTCAAAAATACAAAGACAACACGAAATTGTATATTATAGTCCTGGTCATTGAGCAAATTCTTTCTGGTACTCAAGTTAATTGAACCATAAAAAAGTGAACTCTGAAGTTGAATTGGACAGATATTATACCAAAGCAACTACAAATCTGGTTTATGATTATGGTGAAAGTCTTGTTGGGAGGATGTGACCAAAAATCAGATTTTTATACCCAAAACCTGATTTAGTCGAACAAATCTAAGTCTCAGACAAGGAGAAACATTGAGACCAAAATGGAAGTTTATAGCAGAAAACAGATTCTGGTAATAAAGTGAAAAGAGAGCAATACCAACAAAAGCAATGAGATTTTTGTTTATGCTGTGTGGGAGAATAAAAGAAAAATGGGCTTTTGGAAGACAAAACGGTGGAAGAGCCGATGAATTTGGCTGTTTGGTAGGTATACTGAGTTGGTACAACGAGAGAGAGAGAGAGAGAGAGAGACGTTCTCAACTAAAAGGCTACATATTTTAGAAATATGCTAAATAAATTTAAAAAATTGACTTAAAATATTGATTTGACGATGAAATAATTATATTTATTATTGATTTAATTATGAATAATATTATTTATTAAGATTTATTATTTATTTAATAATAATAATAATATAATTATTATATTTATTATTAATTTAATTATAGGTTACATTATTTATTAAAACTCACTATATCTGGCCTTTTTCGTCCACCAACCATCTCTTAGTTTTTTTTTTTTTTTGTGCGAGAAATGTGGTCACCTACCCTCTTCTGTTTCCCAAGACATGATTTTATTGTGGGTTAATCATGCCACGTGACTGACCAAACCCACTTTGATGGTGGGGAATGGAATTATGTGATTAATTTGCTCAATTTTCTATCACTAAATTTATTCTGTTTCATTAACAGATTTCTACGTCTTTAATTAACACTAGCAATGTACAACATGCATTAAACGGAAATAAATTTAAATAATATTTTTTTTATTAAAAAAGTAAATTATGTGCAATTAATTAAATTAATAATAAATTAGGTATCGAATATTTAATCTATATTTAATTATTACTAACTTTAATTATTAATTTATTATATAAGTTTTTGAGCACCTAAATTATCATTTATTTAGGTATCTCTGCAACTCATTTAGAAATTCGTACATCTAATTGTATTATAGAATTATTATTTTTTATTTTTTAAATAGATTGATTAAATCGCTTATAATATTATTAAATTATTATATACCAAAAACCAAAAACTAAAATATAACATATATTGGATTGTGAAATTCAATCTGGTGACGACATGTGTATAATAATTTAAAATGTATATGACTTTACTTCTTCATATAGATATAGATAATTATATGTAATTGTACCACTAATAAATGAGTTCAAAAGAATTAAAAGTTTTTATAAAAAAAGTTCAAAATAATTAAAAGTCAAATAGGTGTAAAAAATATAAATTAAATGAAACTATATAAGTAGGTATAACAAACTTTATCATAATAATTAAAGATAAAATAGAAAATCTTCGTACTACTAATAAATGAGTTCAAAAGAATTTAAAAGTCCCTATAAAAGAGATCAAATAAGTTGAAAGTTAAATAGATGTAAAAAAAAACATAAATTAAATGAAACTATATCGGTGGGTATAATAGACTTTATCATAATAATTAAAAATAAAATAAAAAATAAAAAATTTTCATAAATGTTGATGTTTATAAGTAGTGTGTGTGTGTGTATATATATATATATAATGAGATTCAATAAATTCAATGGCAAAGAATAAAATAGACAATAAAATAAAATAAAAATTAGAATTGTGAGAATCCAAGTCATATTTTACTCTCTTTTAAATTTGGATTTGTTCTCATTTAAATTTGGATTTTTCTTCCTTTAAATCTGGATTTCTTCATTAGAGAGATTTATACCAAATTAAACTTTTTATCTTTTTTTACTCAAATTATGGTTTTATGTAAAAAAATAATACTCAAATTACTCAATTTAATAAAAAAAAAAAACAATTGATTTGGACATTTTAGGAGCGTGAAAACAGTTTTTTGAGCGCATAAGTTCACCTTAGTGGCAGGAGTCCTTATCTTCCACGCCCAATGTCCCAAGATTGAGTTACATTCTAAAAGAATGTTCTTCCCTGATATTTAAATTTTATTTCCCCCCCCCCCCCCCCTAAATGGGATTTTTTTTTACCTTTATTTATACTAACAATGCACGATGCAAGTGAATATATTTAAATAATAATTTTTTTATAAAAATTTAAATTATATGTGTAATTAAATTGAAATATAAATTAAATAAATTTAATTATTTTCAAACATAATTATTGATCTATTCTATGCATCTTCGAGTATTTAATATGTTATTTGTTATGGTATCACTTCAACCCCTTAGATATTTTTTTCTTTTGTTTATAATGAATATTTATTGTAAAATTATCATTATTGAGTATTTACACATCTAATTAAATCATCAATTTATTACTTTTTTTTTCAAAGAAATTGATTAAACTGTAGTACTATTATTTATATTATAATAATATAACATTGTTGTATACTAAAAAATCACCTATACGTTTATAACATAAATGGGACTATAGAGTAATATAATATAGATTAGACTTTATTTCTTCATATAACAAAAGACATAGATATAGAAAATTGTATGTAAGTGAACTACTAATAAATGAGTTCAAAAGAATTTACAAAAGTGAATAAAATTAATAAAAGGGTCTAAAAGAACTTAGAAGTCAAACAGGTATATGAGATAAAAATTGAATGAAAGTAATATAGAATTTAAAACCCAAATACTATTAATAAAATATTTCAAAAGAACTTTGAAGTTAAATAGGTTAAAAAAAAATTAGAGGAAACCAATATATGAGTATCATTGACTTTATAATAAGCAATATAATATAGATAGATATACATAATTTTTAGATAGATAGAAACTGGAGTCCCCTATCCTTTTTTATGGGAAGTAAGTCCACTATTTTGCCCTTCATAATTTTTTTTTTTGGGTCAATCATTATAAAACTCGAGTAAATTTGAATTTTTATGAAAATGAAAAAATAGTAATTAGCCACTATAGTACAGGTTGACAATTCAAATTTTTCTGGAACTTGGATGATCAAACCGACCTCACCGTTGAATTCGTCTCGCGAAATCTAGTTATCCTGTCAATTTTCATTGAATTTAGAGATAGTCAAATTTTCTGTATTTTACGAGACAATCGGGTGTAACGTGACCTAAAAATGAGACTTAAAATTAAATTTCAAATATTGGAAAATAATTTTAAATTAATTCAAATAAAAATATTTTGAACTTAAATCGAGACAAAATTTAATTGTTTCGGACGAAACCGGACCTGAAAATGGAGGACGTGTGCTGCAATAAGAGCCAAACATCTAAGGGGTATAAATAGGAAAAAAAATCAGATTTTCTTCTCATACCCATCAGATTTTTGAAATTAGAGAGGAAGAGAGAGAAAAGAGAGGATTGTCCAACTTCTCTTTATGATCTACAGCTTTACGTTAGTCAAAATTTTTCGAACTAAGAACCAAAGTGCATCTACACTACGAGGGTTACGCCTACGTACCAAAAATCAAAAAATTTGATGTAGAACAAAAAACGGAATTTCGAAGGAAACAAGGATTAGAGCTTGTTTTGGGTCTTAGGAGTTTTATACCGTTGTTTTATACTTCAAGAGATAGAGATCTTCCTAATTAGGTTTATTTTCAACCTAGAGTTCCATATGTTATGTGTAGCATGACTTGAGATGAATTTTCTTGTTTGATGTACTCCTAATGTAAGTAGATTATGAAAAATAGGCATAGAAATATGCTAAACCAATCTTGCATGAATTGAGTTTGTAGAGTGCTCCTAGTGTAACTAGATTATGAGAAATGAATATAGAAATATGCTAACCAATCTTGCACGAATTGTGTTTGTAGAATTTACTTGTTGGGTAAATTCATGAAAAATGTGATAATTGGGCATGATTGTGTGTTAAATGATTTTGTGTCTTGAAGATATTTGATAAAATGTCTATGTTAATATAGAATGTTGGTTTCATTGAAAATGATATAACATGTTTGAGTATTAAAAATAGTTAAAATCAATTCTAGCATAAATTGGGTACGTAGAAATTAGTTGTTTGTGATTTCTTAAGAAATGTATTGATTAGGCTTATTATGTGTTTACATGTATATCTTGAAGGTGTTTGATGAAATGCCTATGTGGATTAAGTGTGTTATTTGCATTGATTGTGTTATATCATGCTTGAATTGGTGTTGGTATGTATATGATATATATTGACATTGAGATTGTTTATGATGGTTATATGCTTGGGATGTAATTTACCATGGAAAAGATTGTTGGATATTGAATTGTTCAACATGTCCTCATGACATATTGAACATGATTGAAAATTGCAATTGTACATTTACATTGCATATGCACAGGTAACATCACATTTATGAGCATTTGACATGAATATAGGTGTGTGTGCATGTTTTTGAATTAAACATTATTCTTGGTGGTTGAGGTGTGAACTCGGGAAGGTTGGACCTAGTTCCGGCTGAGTTGCATGAAAAACTTGTGTCGGGTATAACAAGAAAAGACTAGATACTCATTCGGGTGCAAGACCCAATTATTGGTTTATACACTTGCAACAGTGCAAGTCTAAAAAAGTGTAACGGTGTACGGAACCGGCGATGAGATTCTAAAATCCAAATACCCAACAAAGACACATGATTTATTTTAAAAAGGTCATTGGATATGTAACATCAATGACGGAGACTTGAAATTACCGGATTCATACGCATGACATTATATGTGTTGAAGGAGCCGATAAAAGCTGAGGTTGGGTTGCATGTGTGATTCTCATCTCACATCATGGCATGACATTGAGGATTTCATTGTTGAATTGCAAATTCTTGAATGGAGTAATTGTTGCTTGTGAATTACATAAGAACATTTCATATGCATCTAAGTTGGGGAGTAGCCTTTTAAGAAGATACCTTATTGAGCATGACCCACCCTTTTATAGGGATAATATTTTGGGTGCGGGACATGTGCCGATGGACGGCTCTCATTCGGGCCTTCATTGATGAAGAAAAGCCGAAATGTGGCTTTTAAACTAAACTTTTGTAAAATTAAGATATAAATTAGTTTTTATGTTTAATGCAAAATTGCATGTTGTTATACGAGTATGGATAAATAGACTCGGTGTGGTCAATATTGTATGATTGCATAGGTTGCGTTTTGTGTAGAGCTCCCCGTACAAAGGATACTCTGCCCGAATTTTGTTAAGTTATGGATTCTGGTAAATAGGACATAACGGCACGGTATCGAGTTATACGGTATCCACGGGTATTTCGCGGGTTGATGGATGATTAACGAGTTGACAAAATACTCCCGATTTTAGGGGAGTCACAATCACACTTACACCCTCTAAATTATGTCCAAACATAAAAGTATTTTTTGATATTTCAAAAAGATACGAGATTCCATATTTTCAACTTCGTAAGAGTGTAGGTTAACTACCATATAACCATCTAACCTAAGTTACTCTAGGATGACCACTCTTAAAGTGTTTCCTTCAATATCACATTGGGCTATTATTCAGGTCTCACATGGAATTGTAGAGGCATTACAAGTTCTACTCATGAGAGGACGTAGTCCAAAGTGTTAGGGTTGAACCTCT